CTCTAAGCCCTCCGATCTTATTTTCCGTTTGTCTTTCTAAAACACAATTTTGAGCCAGGCATGCCCATAAATTAAAACTACCGGTGCCTCTCTAGTCGCCCAAAGAATACGGCCCAGACGTCTCAGCTCTCCCTCCCTCCCTCCCTCCCCAGGCTCGTCCTCAGCTGCGGTCCTTCCACTGGCGTCTTCTGCACTCGGGTCCGCCACGCCCAGCTTCGTAATCGTCGTCCCCGTCCCCACGGCCTTGCACACTGCCTGTTCTGCCTGCAGTGCCCTTTCCTCTCTCCTCCGCTCATTTCAATGCCGTTCTTCCTTTATAAGTAATGCCTTGGACTCTGAAGCGTCCTCAGCCCCAGCGGACGTGGCTGCCGTGCCTTCGGGGCTCCTGTCGCACTTTGTTCTCATGGCTGGCCCTGCGCAGCGTTGCCTTCCTGTAGTGCGACTGGCCGTTTGTGTTGTCAGACTCCCCAGCGAGACGGTCAGGTCCCAGAGAGCTGGAAATTCATTTAATTATTCTGTGTCCACCCAGTACTCTAGGTGCCTGTAAATCTCCACTGAATGCTAAAATGAATATCTGCCTTTATGTCTCAGGACTTCGTGATGAAACTCGAATGAGAGGGTCTTTTTAAAAGAACAGTATAAAATAAATTACAAATATAAGAACCCTCAATCTCCCAGACCGTCCCTGTGGACTAAAATAACAGCACTTCTTAGTGAATGAAGGAGATACTTCATTTCCAGGAAATCAGACTGACTTTTAATTAGTAAAGACCATTTAAGACTTGGAGTAGAATCAACAAAAGCCAAATTATCTTTTGCAGCCTGTTTTTCTGTGTTCTATTTATGCAAGTGATGTTAAAATAGACATTTAAAAATTAATTCTAATGGACGATCTCAGAAATATATAAATAACTAATAATATGAAAATTTTAGCCAACAGAAAATATAATAGGAATTCAATAGATTTTAGAGCCTTTTTTCAGGCGACTGTGGAGTCTGTATGAGGGTTATTAATGGGAGGAGGGAGGAGAGGACCAGATGAACGCGCAGTGGACCCAGGACGGATCAGCAGCCCGAACCACGGGAAAGCTGAGCGGAGATACGGAGGCCGCCTCCTGGACAATCTCTGCTCGAACAGAGAAGCTACCACGAATGCAGATGTCCCCGCACAGCGCTACCGCCAAGGTTGCCAGATTTAGCATAAGTAAAAATGCAGGACACAAATATTGCAGGAAGCATACTTATACGGAAAAATTGCTTACCTGCGATTCTGGTGTAACCGGACATCGTACATGTTATATTGCAAACCAAGCTACAACTCGAAGGACTTAATATCTTTGAGTCTGATCTTAGGGCATTTTGAAGAATGCAAGGCCTTGCCCTGGTAAACAACCAAAATAGTTAAGGCCGCAATGAAACTGGTGGTAGCTTGCCATCTAGTGGCAAGTCTGTGATGGTGAAAGCTTAAATCGGAGGAAGAGAGATTTTTTCCTGGAGAGGAGGATGGCATCAGGAAGCTGGGGGTGGTGTGGGGACGTGAGCGAGGGGGAATGCTGGAATGTGTTTCCTGCCATCTCATGGGGAGCGGCCTGGGCGCGCCAGCATACAGAGACTTCGCTCCCTCACTCCAACCAAAACCAAAACGAAAGCTCGAGCTAACTGTGGGAAGCACACGATCCTTCCAAATGAGGAAGGCCCAGAGGGGTATGGAGCTACCCAAAGTGAAATTCTGCAGGTGCAGTCACAGAGAATGACAAGGAAGAACCGACGAGGTCGCCCAGGAGTCAACAATGCAGCTACAAGCTCAGATTTTGAGAAGCTGAAAAGATGTGAAAGTTAAAAGAAGGCACACACGGGAATTGCAAGGATAACATCTCCAAGTGTGACGCTCAGGAGAAATTCAGTGCTGCAAGACACGCCACAGACCAATAGCAACAATGACACTTAGCAACGACACTAATAGAACCAAACTCGGAACAGGAAGAGCAGGGGAAAGAGAAATGGCCCCCTCGAGGCAGACGTTATAGTGTCAGCCTATAATACAGAGAAAGGAGCCCTTGACTCTTATTTTAGCCTATCTTCTTCAGAAAGAAGAACATTCTAGAAATAAAAGGGTTGGACAAAAAACATAAAATGATCTTAAAACCCAAACAGGAGTCTTATAACTGATTTAAATAATTCTTTTTTTCTAGAACAGAAAGGAGAAGATCTGTAAGATTTGAGGCAATTATCCTTATTGTTAAGTAGGTGATTTGTAGACACTAAAGGAGAATCAACGTAATGTAAAATTCTCATGAATTTCTAGAAGAGATTATTGAAAGGTAATTTGTGCATATGATAAAAAATAATCATAAAAGACAAGTGTTTCCAAAGACTAAGGTGTGCCAAACTAAATCTCATTTATTATGTTTTAGGTTTATAAGAATGTTAAATTATTAGAGTGCTATAAAGAGAAAATGTTTGATTTTAGTCAGTCATACAGCAGTTTTTTTTCCCTCCCCAAAATCTGTTTCCAAAATCCTAGAGATGGCAAAGGATGGCCATGGATGATAATATAGTTGAGGAGGATTTTTAGCTAGTTTACCTCTCTACTAAAAAAAAATGTTCATTAATGGAGTACTTTTAAGGAGCGATGTAAAAATGTTCTTCTACTTACTTATATTGTTTTCTATGATGGCTTATCAATGGCTTGATTATAAAATATACAAAATATAATTAGCCAAGAGAAAAAAATTGCAAAAAAAGGGGCTAATGTTATGTAAGGACTCTAAACCATCTTAACAAGCTCAATAATGGGCTAAAATTAATTAAATAACTGAACAAGCAATATGAATTTTTATATATTTAGATTCAAAATGTCAGCTCTACAAAATGAGATTGACTTTAAAACAGCTTCTGTTCAAATGACCGAGGGGTCATAGTTGACAATAAGTTTGATTTGGACCAAGAATAATATGAACTGGCTGGGGGGAAAAAAATCACTTTCTCTCCAGGCAACATTGATAGAAGAGTGTGTCCTATATGGTGGAGGTGACAGTCCCACTGTACAATGCAGCTGACCAGACCACGTTCAAAGTAAGGTTCATTTCTGGCACCATTCCTGAAAGGAACATCCCTAAACTCACATTCATTTGAACAGAGGCGTCTAGGGTGACGAAGAGCCTGGAGACCAAGTCACTCGAAGGTAAGTCTTTGAGGAATGGCATACCGTCCTCGGATTTTGCGGTATTAGGTTTATCCTTTGTAGCACATGAAAAGCAAAACTCAGATCAGTTAACAATGTGGAATTTCTCCTAGTAGAAGGAAGAACTTTATGAGTAAAGCTTTCAAAGTTCTACAGGCTCTTGTGTAAGGGAGTTAGCTTTCACCTCCAGGAGTCTGTGCTTCTAAGTTTTCACCATTTTCTCGTTAGTCCACCATTCATTCTTAATTCTCAATTAACTCATTTTGCTTTTAGCTAACCATTAGATTGTCTAACACGTTTGATCAAGTGTTGCACGTCTGCATAGACCTTAAAGTCGATCGTCCCCTGTCCTTGGCTTTAGACGTCTGCGCTGTTCACTCTGTACCACGGTGCTGCTGACCTGAGTAGCAGGAGCCTGAATCAGTTATCATCTGAAGGAGAAACTATCCAGACTCCCTGTAGGGCTCTGAAAGCGACAGAATGTCGTGGTGACTGACGGCAGGAGAGGAACCAGCATATGACCGAACAGTTATCGTCTGTCTTTTCCCCTTATGTCTGTTTTTAGGCTGATCATTTAATGGGCTGCATGAAACACTGTGAAAATGAAAGAGATATGTGACATGTACACTTTAAAAGGCCCAGGTTGTGTCGTAGTACGAGACGACATTTCAGTGTGTATGTCCCAATCCCCGGGTTCCGGCTGGTACACCCCTTGCGTGGCAGTGCGATGCCACGAGGACACTAGAGTGGAGGTGGGCAACCCCGCTGGCCCGGGACGCTGCACAGACACCTGGACCTTGTGCTTACAGAACTACGAAATTTCTTCTCCGTTTCCAGTTTTTTTCCTTTTTATTTATTTTGAGCCATCTTTCTAGAACTATGATGGATATACATTAATAATTGATTGTAATACAAATTTTTGAAAAAAAAATTATCTCACATTTTCCAGTAATCTTAGCATCCAGGATGGCAGCCTCCTTGCTACCAGTGCAAGTGGTTTGATCGACAGCCTTCAAACCCTAGCTATATGTGCACTGTAGGACCGCCGTTTGTTCAGATGTGGGGTGCAATACATATATCAGCATCCTCTTCTCGGTGCTCTAACCCCTCATTCTTACCCCTCCCCCACAAAAAAAAAAAAACACTTTGAAAAAATAAGTCAAGGTTCTCGATACTAGAGACTTAACCTAAGTCTCCTCAGGCCTCTCTTATAATCCTGTCAGTACAGGCTCCAAATGCCAGGGAGAGGCCGGGCTCGGCTTTGCCCGGGTTCAACTTGGATTTGGAATAGAGCATGGATTCATGGTAGGACTGAAGACAAGGCCCAAGATGCCCAATTTCTCCTCCAGCAGGAGAGACAGGCCAGGGAGGATGCCGGCTCCGTGTGAGCAAGCGCAGTGGGGACCTCATCTGGGACGCCCGGGGCCACAGCCAACAACTGGCCGTGAGGGAACAAAACCCTTAATTAGTGGGAGCTGGGAGGCACGTGACTGCAGAAGCCCACGAGCAGACTTGTTTACTGCTTTCAGTGGACGCTCTGGCTCGTTCGTCCGGCAAGGAAATGAAACAGCATAAACCGATGCAGCATTCACGAGTGACAGAGGCCACCCTCTCTGCAGGACCACCACGTGGAGGTGTGGAGGAAGGGGCAGAGCCGGCCTTCTTCCTTCTCAGACCAGTGTCCAGCAAGAGGGACCCACACAACGGGGAAATGTCTGACTCCCACCCATCAGTGTTCCTGAACTTCAGCCCCCATCTCAGTAGCACCCCAACCCCGTCCCACCAGGCAGCCTCTCTTCATTCTGTGGCCCCAGGTCTAGGGAACATGGTGGTCCTTATCTTCCTCTCGGATCCCCTGAGGTGCTGAGTGCGGCTCCACAGAGGTGGCCTGCGGCTCCTCTCGGGCCTTGCTGAGGAAAGGCCCAGCTCCCGGCCTGGTCCCTTCGGGCAGCTGGGTGGGCCCTGGAGAAGGCTGGCTGCTCACGGCCTGAGCATAGGGAGCTGGAAGCAGATCCGGAAAGTAGCCATCCCCTCCTGTGGGGTGCCCCAGAGCTTGTGGGCAGAAGGGACCAGGGAAGGGCAGTTCTGGCAAGCAGGGGTCATTCCAGGGGACTGTACCTGCGGCGTCCAAGAACATAGGAAAGATTAGACAAGACTTAGGGTGTGCACGGTTCAGTAGTCTGCTGCCACAGAAACACAGGCTAGGGCCCCAGGCCGGTCTGGTGAAATGCTAGCCCCAGGTGCTCCCCTGGGACCAGGCATGCTCCTGACTCGAGGTCTGGTGGTTTGGCAGCACTAACACAAAGTGGACCATGAGTCAGGCCGCATGCCCTCTGATGCAGGCGGCAAGGAGACAACCAACTGGACACCTTCCCTTTCTGCTAGAATTCAGTCATTATAAGGTGGCTGCTTCCAGATTTTCAGAGGTCCAGGTGGCCCGTCAGAATCCTAATAGTAGTCACCATCTACCCTGCCAAGTATTTCACTCGTGTTGTTTCTAGTCTTCACCCAGTGCCTCTGACAATGGAATATTATTCCCATTTCAAAGCCCAAGAAACGGAGGCTCAGGCCCTTGGAAACTGCTGAGCTGGACTTCAAACTTTAGTTTTCCTAACTCCAAAGCTCTCTTGCTGTATCTCAATCTGCTCTGCAGCCTCCAAGAAACTTAAGGAAGAAGAGCTTTAAAAAGACCAGCGGGCAAGGAAAGGCGGTCCCCTCACCCTGTGCTCGCCTCAGCCTGCCCTCCCGCCCGCGAGCCTGTCTCCCTCCTCAGCTCCCTCCATCACAAAGGGCACTTTCTCTTCCAGCCCCAAACTCACCCGCGTTCGCGGCAGGTGGCTGCAGCAGGATCTGCCCCGAGGTGGGGCCTGGGAAGTAGCTCTGTGATGTGCCCCCACTGGGGCCATAGGGCATTGGAAAGAGAGAGTCTTCTGGCAGTGGGGGTGTCAGGGAACTGGGCAGGGAGAACGGGGGGAAGGGATGCAGATATGAAAACTGGGGTTGAGGATGTGGGAAAAGCTGGGTCTGTGGAGCCTGGGAGAATGGGAACAGTCCTGGCTGGGCGCTTGCTTGGTAATCCTGGGGTTCCAGCTCTTCCAAGTATGAGCAGGTGGGGGGTGACGTGATGCTGTGGGGACAGTATTTTGTAAGGCTCAGGCTGGCCTCCTCACTCCTACCACATAGCAGGTGACTGTCTGCCCCCGACCTCCTCTCCCCTCCTCCACGACCCGAGACCTGCCACCTGCTCTTCCGCTTCCGGATCCGCTTTCCCGC